AAAGGCATGGCAGTACTGCGTGCTAATTTGGCCCCGTGGTTCCCGTGCAAGAAACGAGAACTGCCTGCACTCGGGATCACATGTGGCATAGGAGATTCTCTTCAAGGCATGGGCCATGTACACTGTCTGTAATAGATATCAAAGATTCATATTAAACCAATAGTAAAACACCAAACTGTAACCATCTTGACAGATTGTCTGTTACACGCAGCATAAATTCTCTAAAAACAAACAAGACAAAAACTGAAACACACAATATACGTTGTTTGTGATATACAAATGACAGACATAATTTTATTTTGTGTCTTTCCAATAAATAAAGAGTTATTCCTGGCAAAATGAGAGAGAGAGCAAGAGATAGAGAGAGAGGAAGAGAGAATTCCTAGAGGCACAAGTAGGTCCACAGAGGAGAATCCAAATAATGGCAACCTGCTAAGTAGTCTAGCTAGCAGTAAAAAGGGAGAGTCCAACTTCAGCTGTTGTTCATGTATGTGATGTCAATGCAAGAAGGTCAGGTAAAGAAAAGTCACCTGGGGGAAATTCTAATGAGGTCACTAAATTTAAAGCCAAGAGCACTTCATAAAAGTTCTTAAGCCAAAAGGACATATGTATAAAAACTTAACAATAGGTTGTATTATAACCTAAATATTTCTTTAATAACTTTACTCAACTGCTGCAGAATTACTTAGGCTAAAACAGACCCATTTTTCATTATAAATCAGGACCAAAGTTAGGGGGACAGAAAGAGCCATCTTTCTAGTTTGACCCAAGTTCTATGCAATTTGTCAAGTCGGGTCAGGTAAGTGGATACAGAGGTTCACTTTTTCAGAAAAAGACCCCTCCCCTCTCTGAAATTACTGGATACAGGCATGTATTGTGGAGTCCAACTTAATCAAGTCAACTGCTTCAAAATTCCCCTTGTTTGCAGTACTTATCAAATGTTTTGGTCATTACATTAAGAACAACTTTTGCCTCGGGATCTTTTCTGGCAGGTCTTGTTGGCTGGCACTGGAGACAGTTTTATTTCTGTTCCCTGTAACATCCTTCACTCAAAATGGAACATCAGGTTTGTGATAAGCACCCTGTAACATCCTTCACTCAAAATGGAACATCAGGTTTGTGATAAGCACCCTGTAACATGCCTCATTCAAAATGGAACATCAGGTTTGTGATAAGCACCCTGTAACATCCTTCACTCAAAATGGAACATCAGGTTTGTGATAACCAAGAAAGTTTCCTTACACTTGAAATGTCTCCAATGTTATTTTTACACCATGACTAATGCAGAAGACATGCCTAGACAAGAAAAGAAGAGGCGTTGAAGTTTGCCAAAATTCTGAAGAAACTTGCCACTCTGTAACCTAGTATGACATAGTAATAAGAGCCTTAAAATGTTCATTTTTTATATGGATGCACATAAGGACTAACTTCTCTCTCTTTTTTCTCACTCATCATCATCAAAAATTTGCTACATTTTCTCTCACTCTATCTTTCCTGCCTTCCACCTCTCTCTCTCTCACCTGTTTATCTGAGCTGCAGACTTTAATACCACTCAGGGATATCATAATAACCACTGGTTTACTTCTACCCACAGTCTGAAATAATGACATATTTGACAAATATGTAAATAAATATTTATATGAATCAATCAAATTATGATGATCAAATCAAAGTTTGACAAGAATGATGTTAAAGTGAATGTTTATCTTTTCTTTAATCACACATTTTTTTCAAAGAATGAAACTGAAATTGTGTACTAGTAAATTCTCTTAATGATGTATTTGTGCATGTTATGATTTTTAAAAATGCCACTAGATGGTGCTAAGGAGGATCCAGGTTCACTGTAATGTTATAAATTCTGAATATCAATCATGGGACCAAACACCTTATTGACAAAGATTTGATGGACTGCCTCTGACCCCATAAAATTAAATTACAAGATTCTTTGGAAAAATCACATCCAAGTATTCATAAATAGTTTCACATCACTACTTTAGAATGGAATATGAGGAATTGTGCTGTGTCAAAAGATGACTAAAATGGAAATATTTTGTGTCCATTTCTGAATGGAGTCAGGCAATATGAGCATAAATCATTCATCCCAAACAATGGACATATCAAAAAACATCTAATTTAGTTATTACTGTATCCATTATGGTCACCCAGTTATTCTTTTTACTAATAAGAACTGAAATCTAACTGCCTGTTGAATTGATGGGTGACTTGTAATAACAATACTCCCCATACATGAAAATCAACTGAGTCATTCAATAAGAAAAGAAAATTAACAAAAGACAAATTACTTACTAAACAGGGGGTCTTCATCCTACTCATGTTCAGATGTATGAACTTGAAAATTATTTAATTGAAAGATGTCCACTGAGTTCATATCATTACAGAAAAAAAGACAAGAAATAAATAAATATATTCTTACTCTAATTTTTTCCAGCTGTTTCCTCACATATTCTGCTCTGGAAGCCTGGTCTTCCCCAACCACAGAAAATGAGCCTATGTACTGGAAAGAGAAATTTTATACTTTCATCGCATAAACTTTCAAAAAATATTAATTTGCAGAAGTATGAATGAAACAAAGACTGAAATAATGTTTTTTTTTTTCAACAGAAACATACCTGCATTTAGTTATATGGTGCAAATAATATAAATAATTGTTCTAGTATTACTATTTCTGGTTTTTTATCAAAAGTGTTGAAAAAAATCCACAAATACTAGCTAAACGAACTCCCAGTGCATCTCGATTACAAAATAATCAAAGGCCACGGGCAAACAGATCTACAATTAAAAATGACTTTATAAAAGAAACCATGCTTTCCCATTCATATCCCCTAACTCCTATCTTTTCTGCCATGTGCTATATTGAAAATCAAAGTTGGTAAACCTAGAAATAAAACAACGCCAAACCACAAACAAAAGGAATTATCAAAACAACTGCCTTTTTCATATAGATAACACACAAGGCTGAAAATCGCATCAATTGAAGGTTTCCGCAAATGTCAACGCAGAACAAATATGACTCAGACTGGAAAAACAACTTAATGATTTTCACTATTGATATTCATTTAAACACTTTCAATAAAACTAACAAACTGAGCCGGCTATACCTATAGCCAATGTTTAGACGATGATTGTGTTCATTCTTCCCTGCGTGTAATCATATCTTTGCTGAATGCTAATGAAAAGACACCGCCCACCTGTGGGTAGCTTATAGACTGAAAGGCACAGAGAAAAAGGTCACTTATTTCTGTACAGAGGACTGTTTTAATTGGGATTCAGGGGGTGACAGGCAGGAATGGCATTGACTACTACATGCAGAATGACAGAAAATTTTGAAATGATGTTCAAACTAAAATGCATTGCCAAACTGGAGCATAAGAAAGTGTGGAAAGTAAAAAAAATGTACTTGCTTTTTGAATTTATGAGGATGCATGCCCTAGCTGGTGTGTGTGTGTGTGTGTGTGTGTGTGTGTGTGTGTGTGTGTGTGTGTGTGTGTGTGTGTGTGTGTGTGTGCGTGCGTGCATTCGTGTTGAAGAGAAGGGGGGAATAGGGGGATGGCACTTTTCTTACTTGTCCAATTCAGTAGCACTATTTCACAAAATTCACATTTGCATTGTAATTATCCTTTCTTTTTTGTTGGGATTAAATACTTTTAGAAGTTAACATTCATGACTGTTATATGGATTTATTTGATATATAGGTATAGTATAAGTTTGAGTTGGCAGCAGTTACTTTGCAAGTGAGAAGTTGGCCTTAAAAACTTACTTGTAGCATTTAATTTTTAACAAATCTAAACAAATTTTATAGACCCTTGAAGCAAATAAAGATCAAAATGAATATTATAATATACTGTTATTCAATCAATCAACACAATATGTCTAAGAACCTTCTACTGCTATTATTAGTAAACTAAGTTTATATATTGCCCAAAGGCGTACAAGATGGACTAGTAGTGTGAAAAGGCACCCTATGTTACTACCTCAATCATGGGTCACATATACCGAAAAAGATTACTTCACCCAATAAA